TCTGACTCTGGCTTATTTTGCTCAAAATGATGATCTGTAGGTCCATTCATTCAGGACCTCTTCATTTTATCATTCAGCAATATCTAACTTTTATTGACAGAAAAGCCAGAATGAAATTTAGATTTACTACCCAGGCATGGTGGCGCATGCTTGTAATCCCAGCACTCGGGAGGCTGAGGCAGGAGAATCGTTGTGAACTTGAGGCCAGCCTGTGCTACAAGGTGAGTTCAGGACCAGTCTAAACTGCATGGTGATTGCCTGTCTCAAAAAGACCAAATAAATAAATAATAAGAAATTTAGACTTATTTTCCATGATGTTCTTTCCACTGATAGTAATATCAATTACATTTCAGCAAAAGCAAGTTTTATTAAAACGCAATTTCCTTGGGTCAAAAGTCCCTCAGTAAGGATGCATATCACAGACTGTGACTCCAGTTGTCTTCTGTGTTTGAACAAGAGAACACTAGTGGGTGGTCTTCTCACTTCTCTCTGCACATCTACCTGCCCTGGCCCTCTCTTCGTGGCTTGGCTGCCTCTCTTGGCAGAATGCCCCGAATTTTTGTTCTTCGTACTTCTAGAAGTCCACAGATGCCTTGCTTTCAGCGAAGTCTGTGAGAGTACACAGGGATCTTCCGTCTAACCCGTCCACGATTGTGGTTCCTGCGCAACAGTGTTTCACGCAGGTTTAGGAAAGGAGTGAGGGATCCAGTGCAGGCTCCTGGACAAACCGGCTGGCTGTGTGCATGTGGGCAGATTACTAATCGTATCTGTAAAGTGGAGGTGTAAAAAGTATTAGTTTTCCATTGTGGCTACAAAATACCTAAGAAAATCATCCCACAGGAGGAAAGATTTGTTTTGGCTCAGGGTTTGAGATTTCAACCACATTTAGATGGTTCTGAGGCAGAAACATCACGATGGAAGGACATGGTGCAGCAAAGCTACTTACTGCATGGCAGCCAGGAAGCACAATGAGAGAGGGAGAGGAAAAGAGACTGGGAAAAGAACAGGAAGAAAGGGAGAGAGGGGGAGAGAGACAGAGTGGGAAGGGAGGGAAGGGCAAGAGGTCACTAAGACATAGTCACCAAGGTCATGCTTAAAGATTCATTCACTTCAATGACCTCATCTCCTGCTTCCCATCTATAACCTATATCTATCATCCATCTATCTATCTATCATCTATATCTATCATCTATCATTTATCTATCTATCTATCTAATCTATCTATCTATCATCTATATATCTGTCATCTATCTGTCTATCTGCCTGCCTCCAGGATGAAGGAAATGGACAATAAAGGACCACAGTGCCTGGGATCTGGCACTATTAAGAGGATTGATATCTAGGACACAGTTTTCTGGTAATTATTGTTTAAAGCTTTAGGCAAGGAGGATACTCCCTTGGGGGCCTCAGTAGTGCTGACCAGAATCTGCATTCCTCTCTGTGGATAAATATTTCAAAGGACATAGACTTTCTGAAAATGTTATCAAGTGTCTTGTCCTCAGCCAGGCCAGGTGGCTCACACCTGTAATCATAGCACTTGGAAGGCTGAAGCAGGAGGATCCCTGCAGGTTCCAGGTCAATCTGGGCTGCACAGTCAGTTCAGGCAGGCCTGAACTATACAATGAGATCCTGTCTCAAACAAATAAACAAACAAACAAACAAACAAAAAATATTTCTTACCAACCGTGGATTCATTACATTAGTTTCCATCTCTCAATTTTAGGTATCATGTTGTAGGTAGGTCTGCATGCACGAATGTATGTGTGTATTTTAATAAGCCACTCAGGAAGCAAGTTGTGTCTATTTCACCTCCAGCCTACTTCGGTTATCTGTTAACAGCTTGAGGAGGCCCATTCTTTTGTGGAACTCCATGGCCAGGATTCTTTTGGGACTGGGAACTCACTTCAGGGGATATACTTCCTTCTCAGGTGTGTAAACAGAAATGCTGAAGCTACTAGGCTTCAGCTATTAGATTTCTTCTAGTTTTATGGACCCTCTACAATGTAGGACTATTTTAGAAGCTTAAGGGTAGGGTGAGATGAAAAAGTCACAGATGCCCAGGATGCAGTCCTGACCCTGGGATAACCTGGTGAAAGAGATGGATATGTCAACTAACCACGATATAAGGTAGAATGAATTATGAGCTGTGTTCATACTAAAAGCAATGGACAGGGAGATCCAGAAGAAGAAGAAATCACATCTAATTGGTTGGATGAGGAATAAAATTTCAAAAGCTAGAAAAGTTGGAGAAAGGGCATGGTAGGTAGTGGAACAGCCTGGGCAGAGAAACATGTAGGTAGTTAGATAACTGAGGATTGGCAAATTGTGTGGGTAGAGAGTGGACAAAATAGAGAATGGTGGAATAGGAGAAGGACCACTTTAGGTCTTCAAACTGTGACATCTATGGAAGTCCTACTGCCCTTGGAACTCCTAAACTTCCTATCACTGTCCCTCCATGTCCACCTGTTATGATGTAGATCTAGAATGTCCTCCAAAAGTCTGTGTTCAGAAATGGGGATTTTGTGATTGGATCATGGAGTGCTAGACATATCCACAGATTAATCCACTAATATATTCATGTACTGCTAGGAGGTGGGGCCTGGTTGAGGGATAGGTCACAGTAGGTGTGTTGTAGTCAGGGTTTGCAAGGGGAACAACTTCATACAGGACACCTAATTTTTAGAATTATTTTATAGTAGTTACTCAAAGAGTAAAATGCAAAAAGAATGCAAGAAATCTGTCCACACAGTAGAGACCCAAAATATCCAGCTGAGGGCCTGGATCCCATGACAATGTCCTTCATGAGTCCAGCTGAAGACCCACAGCCCATAACAATGACCTCCACAAATCCAGCTGGAGGCCTAGAGCCCATGACAATGTCACATACAGGCTTGTTTCATGAATCCACACTGGGAAGGTCAAAGGTCAGCGGTGGAAGCTAGAAAATCTATGCCAGGATCTGTACCAGCAGGCTGAGGGATCTGCACTGGAGCCAGGAAGCGATGCTCAAAGTAAGGACCAGAGCTCCCCTGAAAAGTACCACAGCCATCCCGAGCAACAGTGAGGTCCTGAGCTGCTCTGATGATGATAACAGCCGAGTTCATATCAGGAAAGCCAACATGACAAACTTCTACAGGAGACTGAACAGCACACCATCTTCCCCTCCAGAGCCAGGAAGTGATGCTCAAAGTAAGAACCAGAGCTCCCCCAAAGTGAACCACAGCCACTCTCAGTGACTCGGTCCTGAGCTACTCTGAAATGATAGCAGTAAAGTTCATATCAAGAAAGCCAGCATGACAAGCTCCTCCAGGAGAACCAACAGCTCAGTCTTTCTCTCCAGTTTTCCTTTTAATGTTGTTGACAGCAATCTTCAGGTGGGCCCTCCACACCCAGAATCACATTGATTCAGTTCAACTGGGTGTTACAAGTTGCCCACCAGTTGTCAATCCACCACAGGCTGTGACCTAGAAGAGTATATACTCGTACCTGATTACACCCTTCATTCCTTGCATGGCCCTTCTGCCATGATGTTTTTGCCTTGGAGCCAACCAACCGTGGACTAAAACCATGATCCAAAATAAACCTGTTCTCCTTTAAGTTCGAGGTGCTATATATGTTGTCCTGCAATGGGAAAGTGGCTAATGTACTTCCTCTTTTTCTTAGCCCTTCTTTATCTTTTTTACTTCTTTCCATTGTTTCTCTCAGACTATGTAGTTTCTCACCTCTTTTTCTTTCTGGGCCTCTACTTCAGATTTGTCTTGCTTTTCTGACCAGCTTTTCACTCTTCTTGTGCATGGGCCACTTGGCTGTTCCAAAATAGTGTCCTATCTCCCCAGTCATCATCATTGTGGCATATGCTCTCGGCATTCCGCCCAGACACCCTCTTCTGGGGTGACACACTCATCCTGCATCTGCCGTGGTATTGGTCAATGACAGCTTGTGTATACTCTCCCCTGGAGGGTTGTCCTTAGCGAGCTGGAACTTCTGCTAGTGATGAGCAGGTGAGGGGCTACACCAACCCATCCTTCATGCCTCAAAGCCGGACACATTTGAGCTACAATTCAAACTCTTAAATCTATGAGATCAGGTTGTAGTCACCCTTCTCATGTGTTTTCCCAGTGTCTTCTCCTCCTCTATAATTCTATTCTCACTTTTTTACAGCTGAGTTCCAAGAGCACTCCATCAACAACTCCCTCGCTTCTAGGGAGCCTGACTTAAGGTCACCCTTTTGCGAATCGGGTGTCTATGGCTAATTGGCTCAGGAGAGAGAACAGTCTAGACTTAGATCAGCTGAGCCCAGCTTCTTTACTGAACACCTGGCCTAGGAATTACTCCAAGTCCAGTCATCTGTGGATGGAGAGGGGATAAAGTTTATATAAGACAGGGCAGATGTCCTCCTCCTCAATATTTCTCAGATTTATTTTCTTTATTTGCCTTCTCACTTCTTTCTCTCAACATCTACAGTCCCAGGTTGGGGTTACAGAGTAAGCTTTTTTTTTTTTGTACCAGGAATCAAACTCTGGACCCCATGCTTGCTAGGCAGATGCTGTGCCCCAGAGTAAATTTTTGAATGGAGAGAGTATGAGTTTGAGTATTGGAAGCCCTGAATAATAGTCCTAAATCAGCCAGCTCACTCTGCAGCTCTAGGCCTCAGGCTGTTAGGGAACTTACAGAGTCAGTTTGTTAACTTCAATGGTTGATTGTTCTCTGAGAATTAACAGGGCAGATTCTAGGCCTTCAATCTCTGCATCCCTGAATTTATAGGGATAGGGCAAGATGCCTGGTATAGGGCAAGAACACAGATACCGTATTGATAAAAAATGAAACAAATGACATTAAGATATAGAGTATGATTGCAAAGTGCACAATATTCTAGCTATGGAGTCAATTAGCAATACCCATCACTTGGTGAGTGGTCACATGCACCAGTTCCGTGGTAAACACCTTGTGTTTTCCAACTACTGTTGCTTCATAACAAATCACTCTGAAATGTAGCCATTTAAAACAACATTTTTATTATGCTATCAGAGTCTATGGGTCAAGAAGTTGGACAGAGTACCATGGGGATGGCTTTTTCCTGCTCCATAATGTCTGTGGCCTCACTTGGGAAGGTCTGATATCTGGTTGTCACTTGACAGCAGGAGCTGGAACCACTGAAACCATCCTCACTCACAGGACTGGTGGTTGGTGATGGCTGTTGGTGAGATATTAGCTGGAGCACTTGGCCAAAGCACCAACAAGTGGTTTCTTCATAGAGCCTGGACGTCAGCACAGAGTAGTGGCCTTATGCTAGTATAACTTTGTACATAGCTGATTAGGGGTCCATGAACAGTGTCCAAATTGATAAGGCAGAAGCTTCACCATTTCTGTGACCGCGTCAGAATTCAAACTGCAAGGTTTCCATTACATTCAGTGGGTTACAGGCAAGTAACAAACCCACCTGGATAGGACAGGTGACTTAGGCACCACCTCTTGATGAGGTGGGGCGAGGGTCTTACAGAGCACGGGGGTGTGGGAAAAATGGTTGTGGCCATACTTGGAAAATACAGTGTGCTGCACATGTGATTCCTTATTTAATTCTTCTCTTGTTCTTGAATGTAGGTATTATTTTCACTCCTTTCAAAGGAAGTACAGGCTCAGCTCAGTTAAGTAACTTGCTGCTGGACAAAGCCATTGCATGGCATAGCTGGATTTAAACCCAGTCTGTATAAAACAGAATACAATTCTGCTCATAGAAAAAGAGAACTGAGTGAAAGTAAGAGACATTTCAAGGCTAGTTCTTCCTAGGTGTAGGGTCAAGAGAGGGTAAATGTTCTTTTCCTCTATAACCCTGATATAAAGATCTAATATCTTTTCCGTATGGATAAAGAAATCTGATTGTTGTTCTCATAACTCCCCAGGGTGTTGCTGCCAAGAGGCTGTGTAAATATTGTGTGTGCCTTTGATGATTTGGTCTGCCAGATTTGTGCTGGGCAGAGAGGCTGCTGCCTGCCTCCCGTTACCCAGTAGTATGGCAAGAGTCCGGGGGCCAAGGAGTAGGAGCAAACCTTGATTCCCTCCATAAAGGGAGCACACACAACTAGTTTCTGCCAGGAATATCTTCTCTGTCATGATCTCTTCCTGAAAGCATACTTTCCCTTTAAATTTAAACAAGGATGACAATGTCTTGGAAGTTATACTTAACACTCCCATGATACTCTTTTTCTCATGATGTTTATAATCTGAAATGTTCACATGATTCCTGGCACTCACTGCTTGCTCTTCTAGATTTTTTATTGTAATCCAATTCTTCTCTTAAGATCCCAGAGAGCAATGATCAGAGACTGCTCTTCCTTAATACTCCCCCATCATACTTCATTCTTAATACGTGCCCAGTAGATACTGACTGATTAGGCCTGATAATGTTTAGTGTGAGAGAAGAGCCCATCTGCTTCTTCTGACAGCCTGATATATCACAGGCATTGTGCAAGGTGCCAAGGACCCATATGATCTAGAAGCAGGAATCCAGAAAAATCAAAGATGAACCTTCTGGACACTGTGCAGCAGGTCAATAACATCAAAATTACTGCCTAAATGTGCAGCATACTTGATTAGATTAGTGGAATTCATAGTAGGTAAATTTGAGGCAAGTGCTATAAAGTTATAATTTCTATATACTGCCAGATAATTCTAGAGTCAGACATTTTGACAGCCCCTGAATAGGGATTTTTAAATCATAAAGCTTAATTTTTAATTTTTCTATAAATTATCTGAATAATGTATTTTAGCCTCGGCTATCAAACAAGAAAGGAGGAATTTTCTTCATCTTTATTTCAAATTAGCCTTTCTGTAACAGGCAAAATTTACCTACTCTTGTTTTAATTTGTCAAAATTTCACTTCAGAGTGTCCCTAAAATCCATTACCTCTGGTAACACCTTTGAACATTCCAAAGCAGCTGATACAGCCATAGATAAACCTGTTTGTAAATTATGGCGTGATAAATCTCAGTGTTTTATCTTTACTCAATATTTACACTGTAAGTCCTTCATCCAAATATAATCTTATTGTATGAAACTATTTCCTCAACATACCATCAAGAAGAATAAACAACTCCTGTAAATAATTACCTTTGGGATATGAAAGAAAATGTAAACATTTTATTTGGCAGTTGTTTCTGAACACATGAATAAATAAATGGAAAAGTACATATTAATATTTCTTTTTGGGGTAACAGATACCATTAAACACTTATTTACACATCTTCACTGCAAAGAACAGTTACACAATTAAATTTTGTCCTATAAAAGGTAACTTCCCACACCACTGGATTGGACAGTTAGGAATGGAGTATTGGTAGTGCTTGGTTCTAGCAGTTTCAATGTTTAAAAGGCATTCATTTGCAAGTGTGATAAGAAGAGTCATCATGCATTGAGTTCATCCAGGTCATGTATTGTAGAAAGTTTTTATGGCAGCCTCAGGATTTGGTGTCTCATGCGCTTAAGTCAACTATCACATGTTTGTAAATCTGTGTGTTTCCCTTAAAACTGGAAGCAAAAAGAAAATTACGCTTATTAATAGATACATGTGTGAACGATCTTGGTGCCTGAACATTTAATTCCTGAAATTTCACAAATTTGGCTTTCTCTGCATCCCAGTTATACACTTGAGTAAAAGAGTAATCACTTCCAAGAATTGCATATTGGTAATTATTTATCTGAAGTGGCTGGAACACCATAGATCCTCGTGATGGCATCCTCTGAATATCCTGGAATGAGGTGCCTCCCCATTTCATGACTTTGGAATCACCAATGAATCTTGTCAAACAAATGTACACGTCACCTTTCACTGAGAAGTGCTTTACTGCATATACATCTTCCATGTTAGGAATATCAGTTTGGTTAGTGAATAACTGTGTTGCTTTGTTCCACTGATAAATTACAGGACGCTGGGAACTACTGGACAGGATTAAATGAGGCGTTCTAAGTGTCAAAGGTGTTCTGGCTATTTCTAAATATTCCACATCAGTGTCCCTGTACCAGGCATGTAAGGATTGATGGGAGTAGAATCCATTTCCATTCCACTTATAAATGGTAGTGAAACCAGCTTTTGAACTATCAGCAACAACAAAGTACCAGTTGTTTTCAATCTTGAATGTTTCTATGTCGTTGGGTTTTCGGATTTTGAGAATTTCAATATCCTGGATTTTTATGAATTTGTTTGCAAAACCATCTCGCTTATAGATATGAGAGCCACCAAACAGCTGGGCCACAATAACATACAGCTGAGTTTCAATGACTATAGGCTTGCACACTACAGTGGATGTGCCTGGGAAGAGACAAATGAGAGATTAGTTGTGAAAGTATCTCCTGTAGAATAAGTAAACATGCTGGTTGAGGCCATATAACTGCTACCAAAACCCAACCTAAAACAATAGGGTTTCTTGGTTGATTAGGCAAGGCCAAGCTCCAAGGCCAATAGCAGTGGTATCTTTAGTTCTGTACCTTTTCACCCCACAAGGCCTTGTTATGAATAATAAATTTATCACATCACACACAAACTGCTCTAGGTGCTCAGGACATGTAGATACAGCCTGAATTTTCTCCTCCTACTTCTTGCAGAAAGAAAAGTATTGTTTTCCCGGACACATAAATTAATCATAGTAATTCTAATTAAAAGCCACCATTTACTGAGAATTTGCTATGTGTTTTATCAAGTCATTTTATTAAATATTCCCAACAATTGTTAGAGATAAGTACTATCTTCTCTTTTTCCAGATGAACAATCTGAATCTCAGAGGGGTTAAGTCCTGCTGCCAGGTGGGAGAGTTGGGATTCAGACCCAGGCCTACCTACCAGCATCTTTAGGCTTTTAACCCCAGTAAAGGCAAGGTTAGCTATTCCAGGGTTTGCAGTTTGGGCCAGGATCCCACAAAGTTCTAGAACCATCCTATGAAGTCTAGAGTGATGGTCTGGATAGACCCTAGCTCTACTTATAATTGGGTTCTTCTAAAGTGTGAACTATACCTGGCCCTAGAAAAAATGCTTCTTGCATTAGAATTTCTTGACGAAGGCAATAGATACTACTTGTCACCTTTCTAGCACTTCAGATCACTCATTGTAGAAGAGAAGACAAAGAAGAGGGATCCTTGAAACAAGTGAAAGAGGGGTACAGCTATGGGCAATGCTCCTGAAAGTTATTTTGGGAAATCTCAGATAATGATAAGGGGTCTGTCCATGGCCTAGGTTGGTATCACTTTTCTAAGAGTCTGACATTTATCAATAGTCTATGATCTCTTAGAGAGCAGTTAGTTCTAGAAAATTCAAAGACAGGGACAGCAAGTTTGGACCCCAAGCTTTACTGACTACAGCATGGGGGATTCTAAGGCAGAAAGTTCTACATTAGTTTTTTCTGCTAATTGGCTCCACCCACAGGCCAAATTATTTTTATTTGTGACTCTTTTCAGAACTGAACTGATCATGTCCTGGGGTGAATCACTGAACTTCTCTGGGGTTCAGTTTTCATTAGCCTGTACAATGAGAGCTTCGAATAGATCAGGGATAGACAGTGTTGCTATATGTAGCAATAATCATTGCCTGACTGATTATGACCACCCAGACAGCTTGTACTGAGAAAGACTCTGGCTGTGTCTGCACTGTAGAAGAAAGCACTATGACAGAACAGCAGTCTGTCCGAGGTGAGGGAGAACACAGTCACCTCTTATCTTACATAACTTTGTCATCTAACATGGACTTGAATGTTTATATACTTCCAAAATTATGTTGTAACTTAACACCAATGCAACACTATAAAATCTGAGGTCTTCAGCGGGTAATTACGTCATGAGGGTAGAGCTCTACTGAATAGGATTAGTGTCCTTATAAAAGGGCTTGAGGGAAGCAACTTAGCCCTTTTTTGTCCTTCTTTGTCTTTTTTGTCAGCTGCGTGAGAACAAACAGAAGACATCATCTTTGAAGCCGAGAGTAAACCCTTATAAAACACTGATTCTGATGGCACCTTAATCTTGGACTTCCCATACTCCAGAACTGTGAGAAATGAATTTCCATTGTTTATAAATTACTCAGGCTATCTTTGTTATAGCAATAGGAACAAATGAAGACATCACCCTAGATGGGATAAACGCTTACGGTGCCTTCTGCAAGTTTGGAAACATATGCTTCATTTCTCTTTCAAGTGCTCATCTAAGGAGTCACCTAGGGCAACTGATGTACTGTACACAGCACAGAAGAACCCAGTTTAGACTGCATGAAGCTCCGCTGCAGTCTATTGGAAAACTTAGGGCAGAGACGGAAGCACAACTTCTTCCTTGAAAAAGAAGGATTCTAAAAGGGTCTCAGTTTGAAGGAGTCCCTTTACCTGGGAAACCTGAGTCTCAAGCAAACCCCAAACTGTTTTGGGCCACTAATAAAATCTAATTATGATCCTCTGTGCCTTACGTGATGAGTGACCTTTTATGGGGAGCTTGGTGAACTCTTAGGAGCAGATTGGAAGGTGTTACAAACTAAAGCTGATGTAAACATTTCAGAATTGTGCTAATATTTGTGACAATTTTTAAATTGTTGAAAAGAGAAAGAAACTTACGAGATCACCTAAGTAATAATTTTCAAGGAAGAAACTAAATTCTATGACCAAGTTAAATGACAACAATACTGAAAATAGGTTTCTTCACTGCAAGACCCCTCAGAACCTATAATGTATATGATATGAATCTCAAAGTGGAACATAAGATTTATAGATTTATTGAACTACAAAACTTTGTTACAAGGTATACATTAATATTTTGTAAAAGAAATGTTTGTGTGACAGAGCTTGAGATGTGTTTATCGGCAAAAACCTTATTTCACAATTAAGAAAAAGTGGGAAGCCCAGTGCGAATGAGTGGTGGCTTGCACAGCTAGATTAGAAAGCAATATCTTTTGAAAATAATTCACCTTTTATTATGTATTTAGTATGACGGGTCCTATGCTGAGTTTCTGGTACCCATGATCACGTTATCTTATTAACAACTTTATGAGTTATGTTTTATTTGCAAGTAAAGAGATGAAAGCTTAGAGGACAATCCCAACTTAGTAAATGGTGGACTTTTGATTCAAGTGGTTTGTAAGCCTGCTCATTCCACATATCTTGTCCTACTGCCACTGACAAAAACTGTTTAGTTTCCCACTCAGAATTTTATGCAGCTTTTCATACCTGTAATGTTGTCGTAATTCCGGAAAGTCTTTTCTACATGGTCCCATTCAAGGAAAATGCATTTTCCAGTAAAAGGCTGAGCAATGACAACATACTCATCATTCATATAAGAAAAAGTGTCTATGGATAGTGATTGATAAGGCAGATCTTGAGACTTTGCAAATTCTGCAAAAATAAGAAATGATGATGAATAATTGTGAGCTAATTTTAATATCTTTTTCTTTGGCTAGATCTCAAATACCTGTAGGAAATACATTTTCAAGAAATTGTAAAATGACATTTTTATTTTGCTTTTAAACACATGAAGTTTTAGTGATTCATGATTTTTTAAATTAAATTGCTCAGTTGGTTTTTAAGATATTAAAAAGATTGGCTCCTACATATACAAAATGTAGTTAGTCCTTATTTTAATTTTATGTTGCAAATTGATTTGGAGTACATTACCTGTAATGATGCAATCAAAATCCTTGGAGGAAAGACTATTGATTTTGCGCTTCTTGTATTCTGGGGGTCCTTCACAGTAGATGTCCTCGACAGTTGCATTGGTGTGGCTGAGCCATTCCACCAGCCACTTCAATTTACAGTCACAATTAAATGAATTCCCTCTGAGGTCCCTGAAAGACAAACCTTTGCTGCTTTTGCAGTACGAGGGCCCTGGCATGCCACAAGCATGACTTCTTCAGCAATTCACATCTGCAAAATTACCTTGCCTGACTTTTAAGACTTTTGAGACACCTGGCTTTTGACCATTTAGTTTGGGCTCAGAGAGTGACCACAGAGCACTTCTAAAAGCTACACTAGTCAATGGAACCTCACAACTCACTGCTTTTTGGATTCAAAGACAGTTTATTTTAGAGCCGTGTTATCAAATGAAATAGTGTGGAAACCACATATGTAATTTACATTTTTCTAGAGCTGTACTAAAGAAGTTTCTCAGAAAGATGTAATTAATAGTATGTTTTATTTAGTTTGATACATTCAAAATATTATATTTTGTATGTAGTCAATATAAACATTGAGGTATTTTACATCTTCTTTTACACTGTCTTCGAAGTCCACTATGTATTTTATGTTGACAATATATCTTAACTCAGATGCTAATTTCTCATCAGAAATATGAGAAGTTTTGATTTAAAAGTCTATAGCTAAAGAAACTGCAAACATACCTAAAAGTTTTTCAATAATTGGGCTGAAGAACAGTTTTTAAATTTAAATTTCGAGAAGTCAAGGAGCAGGGGTATAGCTTGGTGATAAAGCATGTGTGAGCCTCTGAGTCTTTGGGTTTGCCAAAGTCAAGAACTCAGTTCAGCTCCTCAGCTGCGCTGCAGCACACTGTAAGGGCTGAGTGTACTGTAAGTGTCTTGCAGCCACTATACTGGGCAGCACAGGAGTAGAGGACAGAATTACAGATTATTATATCACATTTAATTAAGTCAACTCTTTGCTTTTCTCCTTTCTCACAGATATAATTAATTCTGATCCTATTCCATGGTCTACAAATTCAGTCTTAATGGGAAGTGACCTTGCCACAGTACAATTAATGTATGCATGCAACAGCTCATGCTTGTATTAAATGATACAGCATAGTTCAAATTTTTCACAAATGACCCTAACTCACCAAGTTCTCTCTTGTTTTTTTTTTTTTTATTTTTGTTTTTTGCCATTGCTTCTATTCAGGAATTCCATTTCCTTTTATGGCCACACAGGATTTCTAAGATAGGTCCTGACTACTCTGTATGCAGCACATAAATAATTTCTGAATAGCCAAGCACTTAACAATGCTTTTTAGGGGATACATTCAAGAAAACCAAGAAATCCACTAAAAGGCAAGTTGACTTGGATCCTTATATGTCTAGCATAATTCTTGATTTGAGTATGTTAGAGTAAGCCAAGAAGTCAAACTCATTATGGGATTCTTTAGAGGAACTGAGCCAATTTCAAGTGTTAGACTGACACAAGGATGGGACAGAAAGTCCTCCATGAGCTACACCCCACATCTGCCATGAACGGTCATCCAAATTCCAAGACATTCCTTGAATAGGCTTCATATCCCAAGAGTACTCGGATCAAGAATAATGAATGCCAACCCTCTGGGCTGTTGTAAACCATAGTAGATAACTGATAGCTGATAAAAGAGTTGTGCAGAACTCTTTTAGAAGTGCATTGGTTTTTGCACTCTCTTAGAAATAAACCATCATTCAGGAATTGAAGTAGTAGGCATGAAGGAGGGGTTGGAGACTACTGCAGAACACAAAGGTTTTTCATTAGCTTCCTGAATTGAAGTTAAATACTGGCCTTAGAAGAAAATACTTGACTCAGATTTTATTTATTATTGGAGAAAAGTTGTTTTGAATATATATTCTATAGCAGTGGTAGTGAACCTATGGCATGCATACTGTTTTTCTTTTAAGACAAAAAATGTTAATGTATAAGTTGGTTTTTCTAAACTAATACCTCTGTATTTAGGTTTAATTGCAATGTTGGCACTTTGTAATAACTTGTTTTGGGTTACAGTTTGGGCACTTATCTCTAAAAGGTTAGCTATCACTGCTCTGTAGCAAAGTACTTAAATATTTTTAAAAACTCTTTGTTTTCAAATATTCTTTTATTTGTTCCTATATTCTATTTATGGCATAAAATACTGTGTTAATGTTCTGGAAGGCCACTTAATGAAGCTAAATTGCTTTTGAGAGGGTTAGACATATAGTACTTGCTTTGCTTACAGCAAAATATACAAATTCTTTGCAAGGATCTTTCACTCTGAGGCTTAAAAGTCAAAGTTTGAAAGCTCTTTTGTTTGAAAAAGGGTCAAAAATAATTAAATTCATTCCCTTCATGGGGCTTAAGCCAAATTCTTGGGGATTAAGCTTAGAGTTGCTGTTCAGTCTAATGAGAGAAAAGGCAAACTTTCCTCCCTTCCCCCACTTCCTGCTCCATTTTTCTGTTGACCGACCAACCCATGGGTGTAACCTTTCATCTTACTCTGTCAGTTTCCCAGACTTCATGTTTTTTCTTTGGAGCCCAATTTCCTGGACCTCATGAGAAAAAAAGGGATCTTGAAATTTCTGTCAGAGTTTCCTCTTCCCAGCCCTCAGAGACCCTTATGGTCACCCTGTGCAGACAGACACACACTTTGTCAAAGTAATGCCTGGGTACTGTGTATTCAGAATTCCCAATGGTAAACACATGGAAAACTCAAATGCCAATCTGTGTAAATTTAAAATTTAGGCCATTGTAAAATAAAAATTTTTAAATTTTGATCTAATTTTAAAGCAAATTAAAAATTCTAGTCATCAATACTAGGTTTCCTTGTTAATCACTATAAATTAATTAGTGATATCTTAGTCCTCTTACACATTTGTTAAAGAATCCAGGCCTTTGAAAATATCTTTTGGGAGTGTCTGGAGATTGTTGTTTGCGAGGCTCCTGGAAAAAAAGAAGAGTGATATAAACTGTAACTATAAATTAGGTAAATGCACCCAATACCAAAGTTTAGTTATGAGTGGCTTTTTTTGTTTTCAGTTTACTAAATTGCTTGCTCTATTGTATTTTTCAGTCTTCTAAGATGCTACTTAGACCTTACTATTATATTTTCAATTTCTGATCTCTCTGTTGCAATATCCATTCAATATTTTTTTGTTGTTGTTTTTTTTTTGTTTGTTTTTTTTCTCCGGTACTGGGAACTGAACTCACGACCTTGCGCTTCCCAGGCAGGCGCTTTGCTGCTGAGCTAAATCCCCAGCCCCCCATTCAATATTTTTATAACACTTTATACTGATTAAAGGAAACAACAACAAAAAAAACAACCAAACAAGGTGCTTAGACACCACTCCTTTCACTTAGAATAGAATGGGGGATTCACACCCTCAGATGTTTGGGCTGTGATGTCTCTAATGCTAATGCACTAGGATGGTGATAAAGTCATCTCCAAGTGCCCCCTCAGCTGCCCACTGTCCCTGTGTCTTCCCCCTCCCTCCCCCTCACTTGCTTCGGAGCACAGCTAAGCCTCTAGCCAATAACCAACCATAAATAGCTTTTCCGACATACCTTTTCTTCTTTCTAAAATACATACATGATCTCTTTTTCTAATTTAAAAAAAGCTTTCAGCGCTATTCATTTTACCTCAGAAGAAAGCTTTCTCACAAACCCTATCCAATACATCCTCTTGATCTTTTTTCCCTTCCTCTGGTTAGCTCTTGCCCATCACAGGAATTGTTCTCTTTTTCTCTATTTGTTCCTCCACAAATCACTAGAATGAGTCTAGTCAAGTAGGAAGTAGGAAGCAATCTTACATACATATCAGAGAAATACAGAATAATAAAGTGCTGATGCTATATGATCAAGAAAGATGAGTTGGGTGTGGTGGTGCATGCCTGTGATCCCAACACTTGGGAAACTGAGGCAGGAGAATCACTGAGAATTTGAGGCCAGTTGAGCTACAAAGTGAGCTCAAGGCCAGCCTGAACTGCATAGTGAAACTCTGTCACAAAAAGAAAAAAAGAAAGAGCACAATGTTCTAGAATTTTCTGTTTTTAGCAAGAACATATTACACATTTTTCATAGAGTTTTTCAACATATAAATAAAAACTAAAGAAGTGAGCTTATGCTGTTGGCCTCCAAAGCCCTTGTAAATACTCTTAAAAGACCTCTCAAAAGTCTTCTGTGTCTTCCACTTCCTCTAGTGAAATATGAGATTTCTCAAGTACAAATATTCAAGACTTCGATTTTTTCTGTTTTTTTGTCTTCTTGAGACAGGGTCTATGGAGGCAGATTAGGCTGGCCTTAAACTCACTATGTGGCCTAGGCTGGCCTCAGAACTGCAGTGATCTTGTGTCAGCCAAGTTCTGGGATTACAGATGTGCGTTACCACATCCAACCACTTTTTAGCTTATCATTTCGTTTTGGGGGGTTTTAAAATTACTTCTAAGTGGCCACAGAATGTAAGAATGGGAATGGACTCAGAAAGTTCTAATCTCAGCGATAGCCAATTTTGTGATGAAAGGTATAGCTTTGGAATCATTCTGAGCTAGCTTTAAATCCTGACTCCATTGCCTACTGGTTATGTGACTTTGGTTTTACAATTTTCCTGAGACTCAGCTTTCTTTATCTTGGAAATAATAGTGCCTTTTTATATAAGATTATTGGAAAAAGAAAATAAGATAATGCAGAATAGTGCCTAGTACCTGAACTAGTCTCAGTGAACACTAACTGGAAGAAGAAGGGAAAGGAGAAGAGCTCTTGCGTGCACAACGCCCAGGAAACAACATTTAGAAAACTGACCATATGAATGAATGAACGAATAGTATTAATAAAATGCAGATGAGATGATTCAATAGAATATCTCCACAATTTACCTATGTTTTTAAAAAGAACTTTTCCATGGTGCTGAGGTCAAATCAGGGGCCTGTGCATGCTAGGCAGTGCTCTGTCACCGAGCTATACCCCTTTTCCATGACTGGTGTTTGAATGAAGAGATATCCTCATGCCTTGGACCAGTTCAGAGTCACTCCCAAGATATATGTTTCAATTTAGTTTCTGGCACAATATGCTTTAAAATTCTCATGCTAACTTCTCTTAAGTAGATCCCCCCTCCCCCACAGAACAAACTGCAACTGGCTGGAGACTGGATTACAGGACAATGGGCATAAAATGTAGCAGTCAGATCCTGAGTTATGACCACCCATGGGGAAGAGGAACCATGTTTGAGTTCCCATCTGTGGGGAAGTTTTAGTATATGTGTTGTTGAAGCGAACTCTGAGGGGAATAGTTTTAAGTAATGCCAAATCTGGAAGTTTCACTTTCTTCCCAAAGCAATAGAGCTCCAGGCCTCACATACCTAAAGCTGAAAACTAACTAACCTCAGACGCATCTGTCAAGGTAGCAGTAGAGACTTAGAGTTCTGTGGCTCCTGGGACAGAGAATTGGTGTTATTGCATGACAAGATGGAGGACTTTTAAATCACAAGAACTGGGAGATGGGGAGAGAAGGGCAGGCCAGCCTAGTTGTGCAATGAGGCATTATGCTTCTTGAAGACTTTGTGTTACAGGGAGGCTCTCACCTGTGAGCCAGAGGGTTGTGGGGGAGGGGGAAGGCAGCATGAACAGTTCCAGAGAGAGAAATGCCTTAATGGATTTACTGCATTCAATGCTAACCCTTTGCTGCCCCACTGCCCAAAACTCAATGACATACTGATTCACAATGGGTTGCTCTAAAGGAGATAGGATAGGGTTTCAAGTCTAGGCTTACTGAATGATTGACCTGTGAAGGATACGTAAACTTATATAAGCAGCAGGAAGAAGAGGAAGCGAAATTCCCAGAAATGAGAGAAAGGCTTCTAGATGTCAAAGGCCCAGGAAGTGACGTTCAGATCACTTCCCTAAGTCTCTGAAGGACACTGTGACAGCAAGTCTCATAAATGAACAGAAAGCAAGCAGAGGGTATTGGACAGAGAATGATTTAGGGAAGCAATGCTGACAAAGCCTGGAAATTATTCTACAAAAAATGTAACATAGTTCTGATATAAAGCTACTTTCTGGTTCAGGCTGATGGTAGGGGTTGAAAAATTCATCAGCAGAAGCTGTAAAGTAAGAGGAAAGGCATGAAATGGGCCTACAGGGAATGAGCTGTTTCCTAGCTGTGGCTAAATAGGAGAGTTTAACAGTTCACAAGCAAAGGAAGAGGAATTGGAAATACTTGCAGCCAAACTGATAAGTTGGGAAAGTTATTTGATTCAGCATTGTCAATATCAGCAAAGAATTGAAAACAATCTTCATGTTCCCTAATAAGGGATTGTGTAGGTAAATGATAATTTATACTTAATGGGAAATATTTTGTCAATTTTTAAAAAATAAAGTAGCTCTTTAAGATTTAACATGAAATGATGCTCAAGTGAGCTGAAGCATGGAGAGTAGTATATAGAATGTAATTCTCTGGAAGAGAAAAGACACATGTCCGAAGGTGCATAATGACAGCTCCATGAGCTATGAACACAGTTGGTTGAGGTTACATCTCGGAATGAGTTTACTGGAATCATTCATTTTGCTATGGAGTGTCTGAATCATAAGACTTTTAAAATTAGCGAGCATGTATTATTATTTTATAGTTGGAAGAAGCAAAGAATGACATTAACTTTCAAAAAGGCCCTGTTGCTTACTAAATAGATGGTGCTGCTCAGTGAGGATTCAGTCATTCTAAATCAATCACTTGGCTGCATTTATCAGGAATCAAAGCTACACAGGTAGTGTGGGAATCATGGTCAGCACTCAGATGTCTGAGCGATTAGGTCAGGTGAGCATCTGTCATGAGACCAGCAGGATGGGCCTACCTATTTCCTCCAAAATTTCCACATGGTTTCAGGCCTTCACTCTTTGGGAAGGTTGGGGGCCACAGTCAGCCCTAGCTTGGAGCCTATGCTATGAATTCTCTGCTTGGTTAAAGCCAGTGGTGATGAAGGACTAGAACCTCCAAAAACCTCCATGGCCTTTGAGGCTTTCAGGGAGATTCTCCAGAGCAGAGTGATACTAAGGACACCAGGCCAGGATTGCTAGGAAGGAAAAGGCTCAGTCATGGGTGCTCATCATTTGGTTGTTACACATAAAGTGTAAAGAAAATGAAATCTGGTCTCTTTTAGGTTGATCCAACATCTAGAGATACTGGGACAATACTATTTGGATTAAGATTAGAGTTATTTGGGGGTTGATTGTTAGTGTTATTTGATATTTCAGATTCTACTTGCTATGGTTTGTGTCTGCATGTCCCCCCAAATCTTCATTCAGTCGTGGGTGCAGGCTTCTAGAGTTTGTGATTGATCCATGATCCATTGCTGGAATTATGGGTGTGAGTGCTGCACCCTCCCTGGGGTAGATAGTTTGCATGCAATGTAGGGGAGGGAAAGAAGCTTGCTCCCCTCCTTCTTCCTCCCTTTTGCTCTTGTTGCTTTTGCTGTCTTCCACCTCCATGAACTTGCCCTCTGCTGTGTGCCACCCTGCCTTGGAGTCAGCCAAGTATGGACTGAAACCTCTACAAACTGTGAGCTAAATAAACCTTTCCTTCCTTAATGTTGGGCATCAGGTATTTCGTCTTAACAACAAGAGAAAATTAAGTAAGACACTAATTTTCCCTTGAGTTTTGCCACCAGAAAGTAAAATAATTGGATTAAGTTTTGTTAGTTTGTCCTTCCTGGTCTCCCACTTACAGCTTCACAGAGCAATGGCTTAATATTACTATTCCCTCTCCTTAATAGAAGCTCTATTTGAAATATGTAATATAGCCTCTGTAAAACTAGTAGCTGTAGTTACCCACATCACTTTGTTCATTAGTAGCTCCCTGGTTTCTGTTTTGATATATTCAAATCTAAGTTTAATTGATTTGGTAATTAATAAGGAATGACCAAGGGCAGTGAGAGGTTTGAGAAAACATTTCATCGC